GAAGAGGTACATCAGAGATTTCGTTAGTCGATATCTCACGTGTCAACAAGTTAAGGTTGAGCACCAAAGACTAGTAGGGTTGCTCCAGCCTTTAGAGACGACTGAGTGAAAGTGGGAGCACGTCACGATAGATTTTGTGACCCACTTGCCACGAACATCGCGAGGGTATAACGCGGTGTGGGTGGTAGTGGACCAGCTTACAAAGTCGACACACTTTTTGGCTGTGCGGATGATCTTCACGGTGGAGGAATTCTGCAGGCTGTATATACGGGAGATTGTTTGGTTCCATGGGGTGCCCGTATCTATAGTATTAGATCAAAATTTCAGGTTTATGACTCATTTTTAGGAGAGTTTTCAGCTGATCATGAGAACACAGTTGATGACGAGCACAACTTTTTATCCCTAAACAGATGGTCAGTCGGAGAGGATCATCTAGAAATTAGAGGACATGCTATGCGCATGCGTTTTAGATCTCAAGGGTAGCTAGGAAGCGTATTTACCCTTAATAAAATTCGCCTACAATAACAGTTAACAAGCGAGCATACAGATGACACCCTATGAGGCACTTTATGGGAGATCATGCCGTTTTTCGATTTGTTGGACGGAGATTGGAGAGAGACCCTCTACGGGTCTAAATTTTTTTACAGACACCTCGGAGAAGGTGGACTTGATACGAAATCGTCTTTTCACAGCTCAAAGCCGGCAAAAGAGCTATGTTGACAGACGACGGGGACCTTTGGAGTTTGAGGTGGGATATCATGTCTTATTGAAGGTGATGCCTAAAAAAGGAGTGGTCAAATTTGACAAGCGGAGAAAGTTATTGTCGAGGTATATCGAGCCCTTTGAGGTACTTGAGAGGGTTGGTAAAATTGCTTATCAGTTGGCGTTATCACCAAATTTATCAAGTGTGTAGGCGGTGTTCTATGTCTCCATGCTCCGGAAGTACACTCTAGATCCGACACATGTGGTAGATTGGGGTGAGTTGATTGTTGATGCGGATGAGACCTTCAAGGAGGGACTGATGCGTATTATGGATAGTCGGGAGTAAGTTTTGCAAGGCAAGACCGTGAGGTTGGTGAAGGTGTTATGACAGAATCGAGGTGTGGAGGAGGCGACATGGGAGCATGAGGACACTATACGTACCAGTTATCTGTTTTTGTTCGAGGATGGAGGTACATTTTTGCAACCATAAGTATTGTATTACTTGTTGCATATGCATGTGATTAAGTGTGCATGAGTGTGTGAATTTTGGGGACGAAATTCATTTAAGGAGGAAAGAATGTAAAACCTGAAAAAATTTGAATTTTTTATGAAAAAGGGCAAAATAATAATTTGTCACTGTAGTGCAGGTTAAAAACCTATATTTTTCTAGATCTCGGATGATACAACGGACCTCACCGTTGGATTCGTCTCTCGAAATCTAGTTATTTAGATAATTTTTATCGAATTTCTAGATAGTCAAATTTTTCGAGGCGACAGGTGTCAGATGACCTCAAAAAACGCCCAAAAAATAAAAATTTTAAAATTTTATTATAATTTAAAGAAAGTTCATATAAAAATATCTTAAACTTAAACCGGGACGAAATTTAATCGTTTCGAAGTGAAAACAGACCGAGAATAGGGAACGTGTGGCGCGACGTGGACCAAGCGTTAAAGTGTATAAATAGGAACAAAAATATGATTTCTTCACACAAATCTCTACTGAATTCCAGTGAGTTTAACCTTGGAAGAGGAAGAGAGGAAAAAAAGAAATTTCAAGACTTCTTTCTCAGATTTACAGAGTTTCGCCGGTCGGAAATCTTCGGGCCAAGAGTTAAAGGCAATCTATGCGACGAGGGCTACCACTACATACCAAAAAGGAAGGATTTCACCAAAATTTTAGAAAACGAGATTTTGGGGAAAACTTAGATTAGAGCTTGGGTTCTGTTCTTGGAGCCTTCTACAGTTGTTTTACGCTTTGAGAGGTAGGGTTTTCATCCTAACTAAGTTTATTTCCAATCTAAGATGAATATATGGAATGGGTGGGCTGTTATGTGTATTTTAACACTGGCCCGTGGTAGTTGATTTAATGGAAATAGGTGAATTCAATTCTAATATGTATTAATAATTAGAAATTGCTAGTTTGTGATTTCTTGGAGGTTTTGATAATTGGGTAAGTGAAAATTACTTAATCTGATTTTTTTGAGTTATGTGATAAATTTGGACATTTTATGTGATTACATGATTTGGTGCCTTGAAGATGTTTGATAAAATACTTACGTGAAATAAAGTGTGTTAATTGTATGATAATATGTGATAACATGTTTGGACATTGTTGTTGAGATGTTGATATATGTTTGTTGATATATTGACATTGTGATGAATAATGGTAATTATATGCTTTTGATATAAATTACCATGAAATATGTAGATATTTGGTTAAATTGTTCATATGACACTTGTACATATTGGACATGACATTGGTGTTGCAATTACACATTACATTGCATTTGCACGGAGACAACGCATTCATGGGCATGAGTGTGAGTGTGTGTGCATAGTTGATCAAATACCATTATTGGTGAATGATTCTTGGGCTTGGGATAGTTGGGCCGAGGTTCGACCGAGTCACATGGTTTGCATTAAAAATAGGGTTGGGGTTAGCAAGAAGGGCTAGAAAATTTCTTCAGGTGCAAGATCTGGTGATTGGGACACGCAGTCTCTTAGTTCAGCCCATAAAGTATGTGGGTGTACGCGGAACCCTTGGTTGAAGCCCATGAATTCCGTGTGGGTTGGGTGACTCTTGGTGTAAGTCCATGAATACCCACACCAAGAAAGATTCGAGATTTACAATGGTCATTTGATGTGCAACATAAATGACGGATTCATACACATTGGCATAACATGTGTTATAGGAGTCGGTGAATGGCTCGGGTTGAAGTGTATGAGTGAGTCTCACCTCATTTCATGGTATGACATGGTGATTGCCAACATTGAATTGCATATTCTTAATTGGAATGCTTTGCCACCTCGAAGAGAGATTGAGTTCACCATTGACTTGTATCCCAGAATAGAACCCATTTCTATTGCACCTTATCGGCTGATACCTTTGGAGTTAAAGGAGCTAAAGAAGCAATTGGACTAGCTACTAGCAATTAGGTTTATTCACTTAAGCACTTCACCTTGGGGAGTCCCGGTCCTCTTTGTGAAGAAGCATGATGAAACGCTTCAGTTATGTATGGATTACTGAAGGTTGAACCGAGTGACAGTGAAGAATAAATACTCATTATCACGAATTGATAATTTATTCGATCAGCTGAAGGGTTCTAAATATTACTCCAAGATTGATCTTTGCACAGGGTACCATCAACTGAGAATCAAGGCGGAGGATATTCCTAAGACAGCTTTTCGTACTAGGTATGATCATTTCAAATATACTGTAATGCCGTTCGAACTGATTAATGTTCCTGCGGCCTTTATGGATTTGATGCACAGAGTATTCCGACCGTGTCTAGATCAGTTTGTTATTGTGTTTATTGATGACATATTGATCTACTCGCGGACGCAAGGGGAACATGAACACCATATTCGGATAGTGCTACAGACATTGATAGAGCATAAGCTATATGCTAAGATGAGTAAATGTGAGTTCTGGATGAAGGAAGTCAAATTCATTGGCCATGTTGTGTCGGAATAGGGTGTAGCTGTTGACCCTGTAAAGATTGAAGTAGTGATGAAGTGGGAACCACTGAGGAATGTGACAGGAATACGTAGTTTCTTGGGCTTAGCAGGCTATTACAGGAGGATTGTGGAAGGGTTCTCAAAGCTAGCTATGCCAATGACTCGCCTTACGAAGAAGGGAGAGAGATTCTTGTGGACTTAAGAGTGTGAACTAACCTTTTGCACATTGAAGAAAAGGTTGACAACAACACCTGTGCTTATCATTCCGTGCAGTGTGAATATTTCATATGCACTTAGGTTGGGGAGTGGCCTCCTCAGGAGATACCCTATTGAGCGTGACTCATCCTTTATGGAAAAATATTTCAGGTATGGGCTATACATTGGTGGATGACTCGTATTTAGGGTCTTAAGGATGAAGAAAAGTCGACTTGTGGCTTTTAATTCACGTTTTGTAAAACTATTGTGAAAAACTATATTTTTGTAAAACATTCGTTAAGTTAATTTTTGGACATGTAATGTATGTAAAAGAATTGTAATCGAATTCATATAGACTATTTTTAATGTAACATTGCATGTTGTTAAATGAGTATGGATAAATGGACTCGTTGTGGTCAATGTTTACTCATAAATAGATTTGGTGTGGTCAATGTTTACTCATTAATGAACCCGGTGTGGTTAGTATTTTATGATTGCACAGGTTGTGTTTTTGGGTAGAGCTCCCCGTAAAAAGGAGACTTTGCCCGAATTTTGTTAAATTTTGGATACTAGTAAGTAGGGCATAATGGCGTGATATCGAGTAACATGGTATCCACAAGTATTCCGCGAGTTGATGGGTGATCAACGGATTGGCAAAGGACCTAGGTTTTTGGGGTGTCACAGTGCAAGCAACCAAGCAAAAACTTGTACCTTTAATGGAGGCTTAGACTTCAAAATCATGATGGAGCTTGGGAAGATTGGGAAACTTGGCTTATCAATCAAAGTCTCAAAAAAAGACTTATAAGAGAACTCACTCGAAGAAGAAATAGTATATTTCCTACGATCCAAATGTGCAACTCGTTCAGATCATGAGTTGGCCCAAAAAAGATAAATGATTCAATACAATATTATCAAGAATGCCCAAAAGGGAGGACATCCCAACAACTTCTCTATCGTTCAAATCCTAAAGAAATCAAAGTTCCAGCAATTTGGGGAAGAAACAAATGAGATCATGGTAAAAATTGACAAATTGGGATTTTTAGGCAAATGATATAAGTGAGGACACATGGAAGCAAAAGAAGAAACATCACCCCAATTATCGTCCTAAAAACAAATGCTCACCAACAAACTTTTGTTTTTTAAAAGGGGTGCAACACGAGGACTTCCCGGGAGTTACCCATCCAAGTTTTACTTTCATCCAAGCACGCTTAACTGCGGAGTTCTGATGTTATCCGGTACATTAGTGTTGGTATGATCGCACCCTCACCAACATACTTAGACATGTTTATGAAACAATATAACCATTGAGAAATGAATTTTCAAGGACAACGAGAACACCATCTCTCAATCACTTCTGGTATCTCACCCGTTATCTTCAATCTCATATTTACTTTTAATCATGACATGACATAAACTATTGAATTCAATGGGGAATCTCCATAACCATTTGGTAGGTAATGAAAATTTTCTAACCTTCAATTTTACTAATGCAAGACCACCTTTAGTTTTGGATCGGGTCACCAAATCCAACCTTACCAAGTGATCTTTCTTATCTTCTCCACAATGCTCCCATAAAAAAATCTCTAATCATGTTCTCAATCCGTCTCACCATTTTCAAAGGAATGGAGAAAAAATATGAAAACACATGAAAACAAAAATATAATTTATTTATTTATAAATATAAACTTAATAATTAATTAATTGAGCATGTTTACTGGGTTAACATCCATTTATACAAAATAACATCAAGTTGAAGGAAAAAAAAAGGCTTGACACGAGACGGAAATCACTTCAACTAGTTTCAAATATTTTTTACACACAAACATTTTCATATATTTAACAAATAAGGTATATACCATAAAATTAACTACAACTATTTAACAAACATGATATATTGTTAATATACCAGTTTAGTAAATAATAATTATAAAAAAGAATTAAAGAATAAAAGTAAAAAAAGGGGGGGAAGGGCATTAACTTAATTAACAAATATAAAAGACATAACAAAAATAAAATACCAATATAAAAAAAAAAAAAAAAAGGAGGGACTAAACAGACGTTCTTCTTACGTCTCAATAAAATGCAGAGAAAGAGAGGGAGAACAAACGATGAGAGTTTGAGATGTAGACTTACGAGATAGAGAGAGGAGACCCGTAAGCATCGCGAGCCCCATCCCTATCCCAGATCTACAAATCTGAGAGAAAGAGGATAATACCCATCCCAATCTATAGATCAAATCGAGAAATAGACTCCCCTTCCCTTGTTTCCGCCTTCGTACATAGGATATTTTAAGAGGTGAACATCTTGTTTAGTAGCGAGGTCTAGGAAAAGAATAGGAAAGAAAATTTCACTATATTTCTAACCAAGAACAGGGCCTATCACAAGAATCTTTAAGAAGGCCCAACAAAGAAAAAGAAAGAAAGAGAGAAGAAAAATAAGAGAAAGGAACAAGCTCATACCTGGAGGAGGTTTGATTTGGAACGTGGGAGTGGAGGGTGGCTCTGGACTCAAAGAGTTAAGTTGCTAAACTCTTCTCCTTTCGATATCTGGGTGTGCTCTCTGTCTCTCTATCGTTCCATTTCTCTCTTTGTTATGCTGGACGACAATTTTTTGGGCTTGAAACGATAATTTTCTGACCTAGACCTCCGATTCCCAAATATTTTTTTTTATTGGAAAAAAATTCTTGTATTCAAAATCAGAAAAATATCAAGAATGTTGGATAAGGAATCCAACTACAAAAGCAATGAAAAGGAAAAAGAAAAAACAAAAATTACAAACAAAGGAAATATATAAATAACTTGTTAATCACATAAAGTTAGTCATCCTGAAAGTATAGCAAAAAATGGAATCCCTCTAAACTACTTTATAACTAAGGCCAAAAAAGCCACTAAGAAATGAATCTGGTCCCATAAGCCATCCAAACAGTCTTCTCTGTCTTAAACAATGCATGTGTTTCTCGCCTTCCATATAACCCAAAAAGTTGCAATTATAGTACAATTCCATAGAGTGATATCCTTATCAATAGATCCTAAGCCTTTCAAATCTTCAACAAACAAAGATATGGATGATTTAGGAAGCACCCAACTCAAGTCCACCAAGTTAAACAACTTTTGCTGCAAAGTCAAAGTAATAACGCAATGTAAAAACAAATGATCAATACTTTCATAATCACTTTTACACATCACACATTACTAAGGAGAAAGACAATTAATAGGTCTCCTACTCTAAAGTATATCGTTAGTATTAATCTTCCCATGTGCAATAGTCCATGCAAAAACTTTCACTTTAATATGCACTTTTGCTTTCCAAATCATTACAGTTGGAATAAATGGAGGAGTTGATGAATGGACAATTAAAGAATCATAGAATTATTTAGTGGAAAAAGCACCGGATGACTCAAGTACCCATCTCCTTCTGTCGCATAACTCTTGAGATAACAAAATGTCATCAATAGTAGCAAGAAGAGACTTCAACTCCAAAGTATCTCTATCATCAAAATTTTTACGAAAACCAAAGTTCCAAGAATAAGGACGATGAAAATAGCTAATCATGGAAGAAATAGATACACCATGAAAACCAGATAAGTGATAAAGCCGTGGAAACAAAAATGACAAAGATAACTCCCCCACCCAAGGATCTTCTCAAAAACGAATCATTTCTCTATTACCCACAACAAAACTAGGATTATGGAAAAACCTCGTTACAACCAAAGATAAGAATTTCCATGGGCATAAAACTTACCCTCTCAACCCTATTAGTTTCTCATCCATTGGCTTGTAAATCATATTTGTTCTTAATAACTAAATACCAAAGAGAATTTTGTTCTAAAGGAAACGTCCAAAGCCACTTGTCCACTAAAGCAATATTTCTAACCCTCAAATAACCAATCGAAAGACCACCTTTATCTCTAGATCTAGACATCACATTCCACCTAATCAAATGATAATACCCCAAATTTTTGAAATATATATATAACTTAGTTTAGGTCAATTTGTGATATTATTTTTGAAAAGGGATGTTAGTGTAATTATTGAATGAGGAATTTTAGGGTTATCGTAGAGTTTCTTTTATTTTGTATATACATATATGTAGGCAGTCAAAATAGGGCAAACAAAAAAAAAAAGGAGGATTTAGCCGAGAGAGAGAGAGAGAGAGAGAGAGGAGGGAAGAAAGAAGAAGGGATTTGGATCTATTAAAGGTATGAATTCATTAATTGTTGGTAAGTTTGTAAGTTATTCAATTACATAGTATTAAGGTTATTATAAATAGTGATACAAAATACTTTATATATATATATATATATATATATAAAGTATATATATATATATATATCATGGTGAAGAATAGTAATGAATGTATAAATAGGTTTTATTGGAAGTTGTTAATTTAAGTGTTTTGACACCTAATATAGATTTAGTGTTTTTGAGGCTTTAAAGAATTTTTTTAATGTCTTACAATGCAAAAAGAAAACAAAGGGGAAAGGAAGTATACAGGTTCCAGGTTCTGCCGCCGGGAGAAGAAGACCAAATCCAAAAAATTACAGAAAGCTCCCTTTTAATTTCAAAGAGTTTTATTTTGACCCCTTTATTCTTCTAAACTTAATTTTAAGTACCTTTTTACTTGGTAAGTTGCATGAACAGAATTCTGAAAATTTTATGGCAAGCCCGAAAACAGAAAATTCGTTTTTCAAGGAAATTACATTTTGACCTCAAAAGTTTCAAAAATTATGATTTGACCCCATAACTTTAGAAATTTTTTTCAAACAGTCCAGAATACTTTTATACCCTATTAACTCATATTAGAAAATATATTTATATGTAAAAGATATATTAAGTATATATCAATGGGTAGGAAGTATAAAGATTAAATATAGAATCACGAAACGACGAGGTTAAGAAAAAAAATTGACTGTTATATGTTATTTTGGATTAGATGGTGATTGCGTTGAGATTGAGAAAGAGTGCTTTGAATTGGATTTTAAAAATCAAGGTGAATAGTTTACTAATTCTTTTGGGAGGATTTTCTATATTAAATTGTGGGTGCTTGTGTGTGAATTTTTTATATATATGATATATGTTGATGTTTGGAGTTGCAATTAAATGTTTTGCAATTGTGAATTGTTATATATGTGAATTTGAAAAACTTATGGGATAATTTTATATCATTACTTAAATGTGTTTTGGCGATGAAATGAAAATTTTGTGTGCGTTGGGACTAAAACAACAGTTTAGTGTGTGTGTTGAAATCATGTTTTATGAGAAGGGTACTGGCTTATCAGGTCTAAATGGTAACGAGATTGTATACCGGCGTGGTCGGTATAGGGATGTGCATATAGGAGCCAGTTATCAAGCTAGTGATAACAAGAGACGAGGCCAATCATCAGGCTAGTGATGACAAGAGATGAGACCAGTTACTAGGCTAGTGGTAACAAACATAATTTGATAAATGTATTTGAGATTGAGTGTGTGTGTGAGTATTTTGAGTTATAAATGTCTTTTCATTTATAAAGTTATTTGTGATCATGAGATTATTTTGTTTGCATGATTATGTGGGAGGGATTGAGGTACAATTTGTTACACTTATGTATGTATCAAAGTTTATTTTTTTATATAAATTGTGGGATTTATTTTCACACCTCATTAGAGGTGGTTGTTATTCACGGGCCTTTGCGCTCACCCAAACATTTAACATTTTTAGGTGAGAATCAGGGGGAGGAGTAAGTCCTCGGATAGACAAAGGATTAGAAAAATTGAAGATTTATTTTATTGTAGGTCTTCAGGAAAAAATGTATTTTATGGTCTTGAGACAAATATTTAATTGTTTTGGGAATAATGTTGCTCATGTTTAGACTTTAGAGTAGTGAACTTTATGGTTTATTTATTGTTTTACATGAGTTTAATAATGATGTTGATGATGTTTAGTTTATTTCTCTGGTGTTCATTAGGTTGATAAATTGTATCACTTTATTATTTGTCTTACGTTGTATTTTGTATTTATTATGCACAGGAATGACTAGTTAAGACTTTGGTAGCCGGTCCACCGCCCACCCTATGTGATCCGGGGTGAGGGTGTGACAGTGAACCACACAGACAAATCTCATGGGCTGAGTGTCAATATGTTATTCATGAGTGGGGAGGTTTGGCTGTTTCTGTCTGTTATTAGGATGATACTTGTTAGTCTATAACATGAAATGATTGCATTTAACATCCTGATTGTACTACTTTTTTCCTCAGATATATTTTTTGAAATTTCTGATACA